ACTATTCTTTCTCTCTTTCTATCAACAACACGCAACAAGTCGTCCGAAGAGGTTCGTGAGATATACCGTGTGTTTCATATACACCAGCAATGGCATATAACAAAATTCGACATAGACTACAACAACAACAACACTCTTACTAGAACGCAGACACACTTGGTTTTTTATATTTTTTTTCTTTCTTTCTTCTTTATTCCTCGTTGCATCATTCACACGAGAAATATAATGTACAGACTATTATCACGAGGGATGTACAAGACACGCTGGAGTAACAGCATTTCTTATTCCAAGACTTCACTCTCTCTCTCTCTCTCTCTCTCTCTCGCTCTCTCTCCGTCTCTCGTCCTCCATCTTCGTTTTCTTTCTCTCTCCCTTCGTCCCTTTTCGTCGCCGCATTCTTTTGTTTCTCGTATTCGTATATAATTATATCTCATGATTCTTCTTCTTCTCCCACGCTGTCTCTCATTCTCTCTCGTTCTTTCTCTCCATTTGTCTCTCACTCTCTCTCCCTCTCGTAATTCTATGTACAATTAGACTTCCCTTACGATTTCACTTTTAGGATGTTAGTAAATAATAGTCAGCATCGTACGTCTACGCTGTAAACGGTTTAACAGTTTCTTTTTTTTCTTTTTTTCTTTCTGCTTAATCGCTATAGTGCTAAGTAATTTTATTAATTACTTATATCACATTGTTCATGTACACATAGATTCCCCGCACGTTTCTCCGTTACTTTCTCTTCCCGTCGACCGATTTTGTTCCCGAGGGTTCCCGCTGACCGACGAGATTTCTTTTGTTTTTTGCTTTTTAATTTTTTTTTAATTATGTACAAAAAAAGGATATTTTTTTATCGTTTCTCGTTTTCTCTCACTCTTTCTTTCCCTCTCTCTCTCTTCCTCTGCCTCTCTCTCTCTCTCTCTCCCCCTCTGTATGCGCTTCCTGCGTTTGCTATTCTACAGCAAACACGAACGCGGTTTCGCTTTGATTCGACTTGCCACCAGTTTCTTTTCCTTCTTCTTCTTTTTCTTTTCCTTCTTCTTCTTCGTTCTTCCTTCGTCAAACACAAAAGGGTAATTTTTGAATTTTCCTTGCTTTTTCTTCATCGTTACTCGAATTTTCTTATGTTAGTGTTTCTCGAGATATACTTTACCAACGTCTATCATACATTGACGAAATTACACGAAAATAAATCTCTTTCGATAAAGGTAATAACGGATAAAAATCGTAACGTACCTATACGACATTTTGTACCCGTCTTGCATTCGATGAAGGAAGCGACAACTGCGCTCTCTGTTGCTCGTTTTGCGTAGCGTGTTAAGAATGCCCCCAACATCTAGTACAAGTATTTACATCCATTGCACGATTCACAAGACTGAATTTAAAAGGTACAAAATAAAAAACCGAAGAGGAAAAAGAGAATAGTAAACGAATGTGTGCCGAAATACAGTTCGAAAGCCCAGTGGAGCAATAGTTCAGTCCTGTTGAAAGAACAAGGAGGGAACAAAAATGACTAGTGCGCGCGTCGAATTCGTTTCTTCGAATGTTCTCGAGCAATTTATCATCCGTAGCGGGATATCCCGTAAAATATTTCTTCAAAACGACAGCTCTGGGCACGTAGAAATACGTGCCAAGAGGCATATATTATGAAAATGCATTCCCTCGAAGACACGATTTTTTGATTTCACTTTTTTTTCCTTTTTTTTTTTCCCCCTTTTTTCGACGAAAATTTCGTTGTTGACCTGCGCAATGCAAGTCGTTACCAATGAACGACTGATTGACACTTTACCTTCTGAGAAACATGGAATAATCGGTAACTTAAATATTAGAATTTAGAGATCCTACGTATCAAAATATCTCGAAAAATTTGCTTATTTTAAAATTACACACATAAAAATTATTGATAGTCCGTGTTGATGACCTGTATTTCAATTTTGACTTGAAATAGTGACAAAGTAACTTTAGTCCTTTCATATACCCGATGCTGGTAATCTATTAGATGTATATTCCTTTTGAAATATATCATTCTAACAGCTTAGTATAATATCGATATCATGCGAATCGGAAGTGATAAGGTGTTTTATTTTACATGGTCACTATTATAAACAATATTTTTAATTGAAGTGACATGGTAGGTAATACAGGAAGTAAAGTAAAGGATACCCTGTCGGTATGTTATCGAAAACATCAATCAATACTTAACAGTGCTAATAACGTGATCTAAAATATAATAAAGTTTACATAAAAATGATTATTTATAGATAAAAATGATACCATAGATATATTAGATTCTGAACAAACAAAAATAAAAATTTTATGTAATTAAATATACGTTTTCGATATCATATTTATGACATTTTCTGTTTCGTTTTATACACCTTATCACTTCTCTTTGAAAGATCGTCTTTTTTGAGGACACCTTAGATATTATCCTGAATCTAAATTTAACAAATACATTTCGATATTGGCCTATAGATTTGAGACTACTGATTCACTGTGGGTCAAAATTGAAATTACCAATTATTCCATTTTTCATAGATAAAGAATTAAATCAACTTCATTGAATGTATAATGAAAATCGATGATTCGATGAAAGTATCAAATGATTGCAGCATGTGTGGACGATCGAATCTGTACTTTCGTTGAAACATGAAAAAGTCACCGTAGTTATAGGATGCAATGGTACTAAAAGAATTGAGCACTGCTAAATACATGGTGCAAGACACGAAATTTTTGCAACTACGTATTTTCCCTTTGTTTAACGCATTCATTATAAACTACAGGAAATTAAAACATTAATTTAGTGGAATATTTTGCATACCAAAATAAAACTAAATAGTAGATTCAACATACTACTCAAAACTTCGAGAGGATCATTTTCTCAAATTATTGTATCGCTCGATATACAATATTTTGTATCTTAAAATTACCAAGATATAATATTCTAACTACAGCCGTATAGATTCGTTAAAAATATTGCTATGTTAAATACACTGTATTTTTTTAATAATTTCCATTCATTTCATTCCACAAACATGATCCTCGTTTCCAGTAGCATAAAAATCTATCGTAAAACGAATGCGTTAAAACGACTTTTCAAACTCTCAGTGACATTTCCATCGTTTCTAAATTAGCTTCATAGGACAACAGAGTTCACGGCGTTTTCTGACGTATAACTCGCCTGAGAACGATATTGCTCTCTGCTAGCCAATAACTTAATAAATTCTTTTACGAATTTTCGCAATAGATCAAGAGACATAGCGCCCACGCATATTACATACATAATCAGCGCTTAAACTGACTGACCAAAGCCTTTGATTAAATAATTTAAAAAATAAAAAAAAAAGACAAGATATATATGTGTGTATACGCAGATACAAGTTAATAATAATACTAGTGTACAAATCGTGATATTCTGAAAGAGACCGTTAACAGTCACATACACACTCACACACACGCACGCGTATAAAAACACTAATTACATCGCTTTCAAACACTTAGCCTTGCTTTCGCGCGTCGTTCGCGAATTCGAAACCATTGTTACATTAATTTTTAATTTTCCATTCAGGTGCGCGTTACCTGATACGGAAAAAGAGAAATTACATTTCCTGTAACAGAATGAATAATACGGATATAAATTCGTGATAATCGAAATTTTGCATTTCTATTGCTATATTGCTTCGGTAAAACGTCCCATTTGATTTTCTTGTCCGGAAACTTTCAATACGTAAGAAGAAATTAATCGCGTTACAAAAGCACATACATGATGGTATGTACAGAAAGAGGAAATCTGATAGATTTGTAATCACGAGAGAGCTTACTCTTTGTACTTTTGCAATAAGGTTTGATAAGCTACGGACCGAAAAAGAAATCTCGAACGACGAGTCGTAGCATTGTAATTATGTCGATAATCATGCATAAAATCATTTATGGATAAATTGAAATATAACCAGATGTATGTTCGTGACATTTGCTGGACAAGTGTTACGTTCTACTATTTTATATCATTTTATCTAATTATGCTGAATAAACCCACCATTAACGGTCTCGCATCGAGTATATCGAATGAAAGCTCAAAAAACTTAATATTGCAAGATGAAACGTAAATCATATTTTTTTTTCTTTTTCCTTTACTTACGTATAGAAAAAACAATTTAAAATAGTACGGTAAACGATTATATGTATACAATAATTCTGGTTTCCTCTTGCAACGCGAATCAGAAGCTTTTCTCTACTCTCCCGGTTCGTTTGTCTGAACATTTGCAGCAAAATATTATGCAAAATATAACGTTTCGTCTGCGACCTAAACTCGTGTATGTACACGTTTCTCCAGAAACAGAACTACCATATCATTAAAAACGTACGCATATATATTTCGTGTATCACTTTTCTTCTTTTCGTTTCTGTCATTTTTTTTTTTTCTTCTCTCGTTTGGCTTTTCAAAAAAGTCATAAAGGAGCGTTCTCTCGAAATGAACCCGGTAAAGATATCAAAATTACGAAGTCAAAGCAAACGTTTTGCTTATGCTCAGTGTTGCATTTTGTAAAATAAATAGAAACGAATAAATACTTGAGCACGTTCTATATGTATATATATATATAAAAAAAAAAAGAAAAAGAAAACGTATGCGTGTTCCTTGGCGTGCATTCGACGCAACGAAAGTTCAATTTAACATCTAATTTCCGAAAGTAAATTACAGGCGTAAACGATAATCGTTTCTCCACAGCCACTATTTAATATATATGATTAATTTAAAAGCACAAGCATATTTATCATCCATCCGATTTCAAGATTTCGATCAATTTCAAACATTTAAACGAATCTTATATATCATACAATTCTTTAATTTAACATCACTCTCTAAACACAGTCGTTTAGTTTCTTCCTTGCCGAACTTCCTCAATTGCAACAAGGTACCAGAAAAGAAAAAAAAAACAGTATAAATCTCTCATAGTCTGCGGTCAAGCAATTTAAAAATCGTGCAAACAACATTCTAGTATTACGAGTCAAATGATTTTATCTGTCAATGCAATTCATTCATAACGTGATAATATACATGCATATACATGATGATGTATACAATTTAAAATCATTCCCGAAAAATATGTCTTGACAGATAACATAACGAAAACAATCATAGACTGTTCTATATTCCATGACCTTGTCGTTTGAAATGAAGAAAAGACAATTTGAACGGTAGAAATTTTGAATTTGCAAACATTAAATGCTCCCATTGAGAAATTTCATCACATACACCGTCCTACAATTTCCTTCCTGTTGCTTCCGGATAACACGAAGAAAATGATTTTCGTTTCGAGCTGCCTTATAGCGTTAATTTCCGTGACGTTTCCCGCGTTCGTTCAATTTCCGAGCAAGATTTGCCTTCGATAAGTACTTCTCTGAAGCATTCGAGGTACCATGCACAATCGCACAAGTTGAGCAACGGCATTTTTAACACCTTCACGTCTCAGTCGTCTCACTCTTTGGAAGAGCATAAACATTCGAAATTCAAAACACGAAGGAACGCAAGTGAAGTTTTAAAAAATAGGAAATTCTCCTTCGATGTCGGGAATAGCATGACGGACAGAATTCTCACATCTGTATCTCTTCTGCCAATCTGGTCTGCCATCTCTACGTTATCTTCCATCGACGCGTTGAATCGATCGTGTATAGTAGTCGGTGCTATACACGCGAAACGCGTTAAATAATAACGGAACGTGGACACGTGTTGATTAAACACCGATCTATCGTAATCTCTGCGACTCCGTGCTTCGATACACCAAGCGGTAGCCATTTCTCAAGCTAGCTTCACTTTCTTTTGATTCTGTCAGACGGTCGAGTGTGTGGTCGAGGAAGGTTGTGTACTGGAAGCCGTCGTCGACTGTGGTGTGGATGTTGACGGTGAGCTGACGACAACAACAGGCTTCACCAGGGTAGTGGTGTTGATATACTGAGCGTTCACGATCGGCATTTGTGCCACGGATTTGAGGATCGGGGTTGTGATCACTTTCCCCGCAAGGCTAGAGGGGGCTAGGATATGAGCAGTCACTTGATTCCCTTGCGAGACAACGGTCATCGGCGTGACGATCGGCGTCAAGCCGGAAAGGGGTGTGTGCGAACCAACGATGTGAGCTATACCCTCTGTGGACGGAGCGTTCTGCATCACTGTCGAGCCTGGTTTACCTGTTGTGGTTTGAAGCGACACTCCTGCGTGGCTCAGCGTCAATCCTACAACCCATAGGCGTAATTGCACGATAAGATATATTATGTTCTTCGACCCAACATGGCGATATTACAAATACATCGATCGAACTTTGACCTTCTGCACTCGAGATTGCTATCACGTTTAACGTACACTAGATAACTTCGAACGAGATTAGACTATTGAACAAACTTACTGAGAATGTTCAATTTTGGCTGATCAAATTATTTCATCGAAATAAGTTATGGAACTTAGGTAACGTTATTCGAGTGCAAGAGATGAAGTTTTTGTCAGCCATTTTCAAAGCGATCTGCATAAGGGGTTGAATGCCAGTCGCTCTGCGAATGGATAGTTTAATCTAGCACCAATTCATTACAAAATCGCAATAGTACGATCTGACCTTGGTATTTGGTGCAACGTAAAGATAAGAGGCATCGACTAGGAATCTGTTTATACAGGCATTGAATAATCAAACGATAACTTGTGAGAATTGGACTTTGAATCTGGGTATTACTACCAGTGACGGACTGGTCAAGGTATCAACTTGCCTGATGACAAATGGACTTCCGTCAACATTAGGATATAAACGTTAAATGATAGAAAATCAAATACTATTATGTAGTTTAACTAAAATTTATGTACTATTCTACTCTTCTCGTGAAAAATAAATAATAATCTTACAGTTATAGCTTCACCTTCTTCGTCTCCTGGCAACTGATAATTTTGGACCCAGTTCATCATTGATTGCTACTGTGCATTTCAATCGCACATCGATGCAAACACGTGTGACACAAAACGCAACATCCTGAACCGATTCCCTCGTCGATCATAGACAAACGCGCAAAAGATAATAGAAGATATTCAATGTAAAGCATTACCATTTGCTGGGAGTATATTCAATTCAGCGCCACCGGGAAGTCTAGTCAACTCCGATCCATTTCCGCCTACCAATGCCACACCGCCAACCATTTTATGCGTGGTCTGAGCATCTCCCGCTCTTATCCTCGTTTGAGCGTCTGCAACACGATTCACGATTGTTACATTATCCGACAGCCAAGGGATGAAATATACAATACATGAAGCTCGCTGAACAGAGATATAAAAGCGAAACTAAATGTCCCTTGTCATCGCTGAAGGCAAAGTGAAACTAGGAATAGCTCTCTAGACGTCGCATAGCGATTAGGCCGGCTCCGAAGGGAGAGACCTCGTGAAACGTTTGCGAAATGAACGGCACACGAACAACTCGTAACTGCACTGTGTACATAAGATTGTTTCAAGTTACTCACTCGACACATTCAGTGCAGGAGAATGCGTAGCGAGAACTAACGGCCTTCCCTCGTTTCCCGAGTGCACGAATGTAACTGGCCTGACGTCACTGGCGGTCGACTGCACGGCTAGGGCCAACGGCCTGTCGTTGTTGGACAGATTAGAATGCACGAACGTTACCCTGTTGTCGTTGGCCGTGGACGAGTGAACGACCAGCGCTACGGGCCTTGGCTCACTTCCAGTGTTCGATTGCACGGCGATGAGCGGCCTCGATTGATCCGACGAGTTTTGCACGGCCAACGTGAGCGGCCTGGACTCGTTATTGCCAGCGGTGTGAGTGACCAGCAGTTGCCTCGTGTCGCCAGGTATCACCCTCAGGCTCGGCCCGATGTGCTGAAGTGTCGGAACGATCGTCGGCAAACCCTGACTCGTGTTTAGTATCTGAGCGCTGATCGGCAAGTGCAGCTGGTGCGGTTGCTGCACTATACCCGTTGGCGAAGTGTTAACTTTCTCCTAAAATAGAAATAACATGCGTTATTCGAGGGTAGATGAGGATTTCAGCAGATGATATTCTTGAATATCCATCAAATTAAAAGGATAATTAAAAAATGTTGTAACAATTGGAAAATAAAAGTTCTTGCCTATGCTAAAATTTTACAATTTCTTTCTTGCACCTTGAAATTTGCCGAGCATGTTATGCACGGGTTGCAGCAGTTTTTCTTTTCTTTTTTTTTTCTTTTTTTTTTCTGTTGCAGTATAAAAAATCTACCATAATAGTATGCGTTGCAGTACCAGATGTTACCCTATGTATAAAAAAAAGTTCCTGTTCTTTTTTTTTTTTTTTTTTT